ATGCGCGCTCGCCTGAGCCCGGCTCGGGCCTGTATGATGAGAGCATGTAGCTATTGCCCACAACCGTATCCAACAGGAAACTCCACAATGGCTTCCATGTCTTTCTGTGGACACGATTTGTATTATAATAGCTGCGCATCTGGTCTGCCACGTCCACGCCGCACATCTAAAGGTTATACTCATCGATCATCACTGGAACATTAAGCCACGCCTGCGCCTCTTTACCGAACATCTTCACCGTTTGATAATATCCTGTAGCTGTTTTTGTAGGTTGTTTCCGTAGCTTAGCAATGTAATCCTTCCTGTTATGCATAGTAGACAGGAACAAGACTATTGTTGCATCTTTCCAGGCGAATTCCATCACCTTATAACTCTTTAACAACTCGCTATATAGCATGCCCCACGGAATTTGCCTATTGTGGCTTAACTTAAGGTCTACAAGCGATGGAGAGAAGCTCTCTGCAGGCTTAATCTTTTTCCTCTTTATCTGGCGTTATAAAGCGCTAGATTGTTCCTCAATGGCGACAATATTTGTCTTAATTCCTTCTATCTCTTCTCTCTTTGTTTTAGTTGTGCGCACGGTGCCAGCTGCTCCTATTCCAAGCTCACGGAGCCTCTCAAATAGCTTTATATTAGAGAAAAGATTATCCAGCCAAACTACATGCTTATAAGGTAGATAGAGGGGTTGATTTGTGATAGAATTACGTTGTGTTAAAAGATTAAGCACAACAGCTTATGTTTTGGTGAAGCCCTCTGCAAGGAATAATTTGTCAAGGTTAATAGGGCCTTTCTTATCTCCCTTAGCATGCCATAGCTAATCAAGAACGTAGCCTTGATTCGCAAGAACCTATATTTTAAACCCCTCCGGCGTTGGTTTAGATAGAATGTTGACAATTTCGCTAGCCCGTCCTATAAACCTCTGTATTGTTTTATCGACAGTAAGGTAAGGGCCTGGGGTCTAGTACATGCGGCTGCGTACTTGTAGATACTTAGAGAGCTTATCTATACGCTCAAATATTAAATGGAATCCATCCTGGGGCATAGGAGAGCACCGAAAGTACCGATTAATCTGCTTAAACCGGGTCTTTGAAATATAGTCTTTCACTATATAGCTAGCACCACGTGATCTAGGGCCCTAATAGTCCTTAACGCGCTTCTCCACGGTAACTCCTATATAAATAAGTGTTCCAAAATAGGCATAGAGCTCGTGCCTTGTAGTTGGCTTCTATGGCCGTGGCAGGCGCACGTCGGTGGGCCGGTGCTGTTCTGCATGCTCGTTTATCCACTGCACCATCTTCTCCATTATTTTATTGGTGAAGAATAGCTTGAAAATGGCCATAGGATTATGCCGATTAAGACCAGAGGGCATAGAGGCTCTCCCT